GCTACTTGCAGCACTCCTCCCGAAACACACAACGGCGTCTGTGTTGCCTTCCCACCCTCCCCGCAGCACTGCAGGCTGAGGCCTTGCTCCCTCTTTCGTAGTTGTACATTTGATCATTCAGCTCCGTTGCCTCAGTCTATTCCTCCCGCCCCACCCCACCCCCCTTTTGATTCCGTCTTTGAAGTATCCCAGGCAGGCTGCCCGGAAGTGAATGACAGCACTGCCTGCCAATAGGGCAGCCCTTGGAAAGGAAGGGGCTGCTTTCACTTTCCCCGTGTTGCAGGCCTTTTTCTTCTATCAAAACGCAAGTATTTCTCCCGCTTACCTCAGACATTGCTGGTCCCAGCAGGCCCCAGGGGTTTGGAGGCACGGGGCAAAGCCCCTCTCTTCCCCTGCTGCCTGCGGCTCCCCCCATGCCGCGCGGCGGGAGCAGTGTGCAGCCCTACAAAGAAATCCAGCGGCAGGGGAGCAGCCGCACAGTCGGCCCTGGGGCAGGCACGTAGGCCGCAGCCTGCTTCGCCTGGGGCAGCTCCCAGAGACACCCGAAGCATAAACCAAGCCGAGCGCCACCCTGCCCCAGGCAGCCTTTCCCAGGCTGGAGGGGACAGCAGCTCCCTCCCACAATGCCAGCAGGCCTGGGGGGCTGCAGTTGCTGGTCCCACAGGGCCTCCCAGGGTACGAGGCTGGGAGTCTCCAGCTACCGCAGTCCTGCAGTTCAGCTCGAGTTGGTTCCCTCGGTTGTTTGATTTCTGTGCTGCTCCCCCTTAAGAAGGGCTGGGGGTGGCTTGCAGCCTCCTCCCCCCGAATATAAATATAAAGCAACAGGTAAAATAGCATAGACTAAAAAAATATTAAGTAATAAGGTAGGATGTTACCATACATCCGGGTTTTCCTGGACACATCCTGTTTTTGGAGCCTCCAATCTCTGTCTGGACCGGTTTTTCAAAGTTTTTCCTGGCTTGCTGCAGCAAGGAGCTGCTTGGGGCTGGGGGAAATGGAGGGAGGGCGATTGGAGGCAGGAGGTGTCAAGTGTGTCTGCGCACATACATGCATGTAGCCGGGGGGCGGGGGGGGAGGCGGTAGCTCTGCAGATGGATGCAGGTAAATCTATTGCAAGTGGGGGTTGGAGGGCCAGGGCTTGGGGACTGCAGGGGTGCAGGTGGCAGTGGAGGGGATGGGTGCATGAGGGGGTGGGTGGCTGTTGGCACTGGGGGCTGCAGCAGGGCAGGGGGATGTGCCTGCCCCTCCAGCAGGGGTTGGGGAGCTCTTCAGGGGCAGCAGGGAGCTGTGTGGCAGGGCTGGTGCCTTTGCTTGCAGGGGCTGGGCAGCCAAGAGGTGCTGCAGGGCTGGGGGGAGGAGGGGGCTGTGGGTTGGGAGTGAGGGGCAACAGAATGGGCAGGGCATTGCCATATCACTGCCCCCCCCCAAATGTAACAGGCGTCCTCTTTTTTGGAACTGGAAATATGGCAGCCCTAAATAAGACATCCCCAAACAGCCGCTCCCTACCAGCCCTTGACCCCACCTGGTAAAAGCCTGCCCAAATAAAAAGCTGTGGCAGCATTTCCCAAAGAGGTCTGGGCACAGCGCACTGAGCAAATGACATTTTCTTGGCTCCCTCTCACGTCCTCTGCCCTCCAAAAATCTGAGCTTTACTGGGCATGAAGGAGATCTGGAAAGGGTAGCTATGGCATTCCCAGTTTGTTCCCCCCTCTTAAAAATATCAGGCTCATCACCTCAGGTCCCTCTTGCTGGTCCTGCGATGTAGGTCTGAGATCACTTGGAGCCAAGCCCTGAGCTCCGAGTACTGGGCAGGCTCTGGCTTCCCCAGCCTCTGACCTGCCACAAAAATGCATCCTTACAGATGTCATCCTACCCCCCTCCCCTCAAATCCTCTCCTCCCTCAAAAGTGTCTTTTTACAGATAAGTCATTCCCCCAAATCCTCCCCACCCAGGGAATCACAGGATGTGCATTTGGACTCCTCTTACTCTCAGAAAGGAAGAGCAATATTTTAAATAAAGGAATCATATGAGTGAAGACAGTAGTAGCAATTTTAACTAAGAGCCATTTTGGTGATGACCTCAAACTGGGTCCCGAGTCACAAGCAGGTCCTCCAGGGAAGGAAAGACCAGGATTTCCAACAGAAAGAGATGAGGCAAAATTAGGCTGAGGATCCTTTTTGGGAGTGGGAAATACGGGGTGCAGAAAGCATGTGATCTGGGAGCTCTCCCAATGCAAGGCAGTCAGGACTGGCAACTGGGAATGGCTGCTGACAAGGCACAGAAGCAGGGCTGATATCTTTCCTTTTGTGCATTTTATGCTGTATCCAAGCACCAGCAGCTCAGGATTGGGGTTTTGAAAACTAGATATATCCAGATTAGCCTAAAGCAGGGGTGGGCAATTATTTTGGGCAGAGGGCTGCTTACTGAGTTTCAGCAAGCCATTGAGGGCCGCATGACAGGCAGCCCAGGGCAGGTTAATATTCATTTTCTCAATTTTTTTAGGGGCCCCACAGGCTGAATAGAATAACCAGGGGGGGGGGGGGGGGGGGGGCGCATCCAGCCCCCAGACCGCATTTTGTCCACCCCTGGCCTAAAGTCTTCCTGGCTCACCTTAGACTGGTTTCAACTCATGCCTTGATCAGATGCAGATTTCCTGAGCACCCCTTGCCAGTTTACCTAACTTCACAGTCCTCAGCTATGCTGCATTGTAGGCAAACTACTGCTGATGAAGTTTACCTATAAGAGCTTGAATTAGAAAAAGTGGGAGCGCTAGTACAGACAGCTCAGTCTCTTTTAACCCGAAGAGCTGTCTAGATCAGATCAGCTCAGCTCAGAGTCAGACAACATGTTGACTAAGATCCTCTCTTCACCGTTGCTTCAGCTAAAGCAGGGAGAAATGTGTTTAAAGTTCCGGATGCATTTGCAGCCTTTGAATTTCTGTTTTCCTCCTCTGTAAGCATCCCCACTTGTTTTCTGGTAGGATTAAATGTCTTTAGTGGCTTTGCACAGGTATAAGCCATTGGAATGAAGTAGGCAAAAGACTGAGGCACAAAAGAAATAAGAGCCTACTCCCATGCACAGCTGTGATGGTCATAGCAAGATACAGCATAGCCCCCCTCCCCTCTGCCCCCTCCCAAAAAAACCCAAACAGAAACAAGACTACTTTTCACCCAACAGATCACATCTAACAGAGAAGGGAAGGGAGCACTTCTGCTTTTCAGAGTGGTACTGGATTTCCTTGGTTAAATTGTGTTCTTAACCTATAGAAGTGTGTCACGGCGGGGTCCTCCAGGAGGGCCGTGATCTCCTTAAGGCCCCCCTCTCCATGCCAAGTTGGCCCAAGGGCACCCTCAGATTCTCGCCCGCCACGTCTTTGATGTTTAGGTAAAGTTGGGAGGCTGCCTCAAGTCTCCTTGGGCACGGTTAGCTGGGACCCCTGTCCCTGTGTTTTCCCGGACTCTCCAGGGTCTCCCTGTATGATGGGTGCTTCCTGGGCACCCTAGACTTATGGGCTATGCGTGGCTCCAACCACCCCTGATACCACGCCCCAAGCCTCGCAGATGGGATAGACGTTGGTCTGTCTCTATAGATACACCGCCTGTCTCTCGGGCCTCCTGTGTACACTCGCCCACTCTCTGGGGCCTCCTCAATCAAACCACCCACTTGTAGGGCTCTCTGCGGCCGCACTGGGCCTTCTCAGTCCAACTGCCCTCTCTTGGGGTGCTCCTCTAATGCTGCCCCTCTCCTGGGGCTCTCAGTGCCCACTCTGGGCCATCTCTGTAACATCACCCTTCTCCTGGGGGTTCTCTGTACCAGTGCCCCTCTCCTGGGGACCTCTCTATAACGCCGCCCCTCTCCTGGGGACTTCTGTGCCCCCTCTGGGACTCCTCGGCTATGCCACCTGACTCCCGGGCCCACCGCACTGCTAACCCCTTTCTCCAGGGCTCACCGCACCACTACCCCCTCTCGCCGGGGTTTACCGCAGTACTTTGCCCTATCCGGGGTTTACCGTAGTACTAGGCCCTTCTTCAGGGGCTCACCACGCCCACACTGGGCTGCTCAGTAGTACCCCTTCTCTGGGGCTCGCTGTGCCCACGCTGGGCTTCCTAATAATACTGCCCCCTCTCTGGGGCTGGGGTCTATACACCCCTTACGCTGCACCCTCCTGGGCGCTGGGGTCCTCACGCTCCGCTGTGAGGCCCCTTTAAGGATACTGCGCCCTCACACTCCGTTGCGAGTCCCCAATGAGGATACTGCGCCCGCTCTGGCGCTGGGGTCCTCACACTTCGTTGCGAGTCCCCAATGAGGCCTCCTCCAACCCCTTATAGCCTCACCCAAACCACCGGTGTAATACATAACAACACAAACTTGAGCCTCCTGGCTATAACTCAAACATACGCCCTCTGGTTATAACAACAGAAGTCACCTGGCTATAACTTAGCATCATTGCTCAAGCCTCCAGAGCTATCATGAGCTGTACTTGCAATCAGGCTTCTTCCCACATCCTGGCTGAGGGAACTCCTGCCTCTCTGGCTGCTGGCAGGGGACTGCCCGCCTGGCCTCCGCCCCGGGCCTTAGGCACTGCCCCCTCTGGTCAGCTGACTTCCTGGTTGCCCCGGGCAACCTGCAGCTGTGCTCCTTATGTCCTACCAGGGCTCTCTCCCTGGCAGTTTCCACTCTCTCGGAGCAGGGCACCAGGGTGCCCTGTGACAAAGTGTATTAGTTTAGTTTTTTTCCCTTAGGGCAGTAATTTTTAATCAGGGTGATGCAGGCTCTTGAGGTGCCATGAGATCCTTTCAAAGGTGTCATGGGTGCCTCACAATATTAGGAATGTACTTGGTAGCTGTGTTGGTCTGAGACAAGAAGACAGACAAAAAACTAGAACTCTTGGTTCCAAAATGATACTTTTTATTAGACCAACTGGGAAATCACAAGAAAAAGACAATTTTCTTGCGATTTCCCAGTTGGTCTAATAAAAGGTATCATTTTGGAGCCAAGAGTTCTAGTTTTTTGTCTGTCACAATATTAGGTTTGTTGGTTGTAGCCATGTTGATGTAAGGACGTAGGCAGACAAGGTTCTTTGGGTAGATGTGAGATCTTTCATTAGACCAACTACATTGGTAAAATTGTTCTTTGTGAGCTTTCAGGCACAACCCCCTTTCTTCAGGTATAGAGACAGTCTGCTGGTGTTTTGTGTACTCTGTTGGGTGAAATAGAAGCCAAAATGCAAAATGCAGGTCTGTGAAAATGCAAATATGTGACAGTGAGGATCAGAGGGAATGGGAGACAATGGGTGTGAGACAGGTAGCTAGGTGGAAGGGGAAATGTTGAACTGGTGATAAAATCACAATATCAGCACTGGTCAGTGTTTAAGCACCTAAACATGATTCACAAAATAATCCCAGAGATTTCAGAGATGATCCATATTGTCAGAAACACTCTAACCTGTTGTGGTCTCTTTGAGTTCTTTGCAATAGGAAAATTACTCTATTATTTTTCTGTAGTCAGCTTTTTTTAGGAACTGGCATTTTCCAAGAGGTGCCTTGAGTCTGCCAAGGTTGAAAACCACTGCCTTGAGGTTTCTTTTTGCACGTTTCTCTACATGCGTGGCACAACCCCCCCCCAACAAATTAAATTCAGGGTCTTAAATCTTTACCAAAATACAGCATTAATAAAGGAGGCAAATTCTGTAGAAGAACGTGGGTGTCTCCCCCCTTATAAATAAGACTGACACAACTTTTTAAACCACAGAACTTTTATAACTACAGGCAATCCTTGACTTACAACCTTTTGAGTTATGTTTCGCACTTACAACATTTATAAATTGACATCCTGTTTCAACTTTATGACGTCAGTTTTGACTTTACAACGCCTGATCCGATGCAATGCCCCACGAGCGAACAAGTTCGCTGTGTCACTCATCTCCCTGGAGATCATCTGTCCACACTTCTTTGGACACTTTCTTTAAGAAAGCAGAAAAAACCCCAGAAAAACCTGCAGCCAAGGCTCCTGAGAAGACTGCAGCCAAGAACCCTTCAAAACGTCCAACCAAGAGCCCTTCAAAACATCCAGCAAAGTCACCTCAAAGAAGTCCTTCCAAATCAATATGATTGCTTTTTACAATATAAATACATCAATGTAGCTATATTACTCATCTATAATTGATCAAGTACAAAATTATGGGGTATTTTTGGTGAAAATATGGTATCAGGCCTTGGTTCAGGAACCAATCCCCCATTTATAACATAGATGCTTGCTTGATTTTTACAGACATTGTGGCTGTGGAGGCAAAGCATGTGTTCTAGTCTGATTGAGAACTACGTGGCGGCTATGGTGCTGAGCGCAGCTGGTGATGCTCTGGGCTATTACAATGGACAATGGGAGTTCCTCCGGAGTGGCAAGGAGATTCATAAGCAGCTGGCAAAGATGGGAGGCCTGGACAAGATTAATATATCGGACTGGAAAGTCAGTGATGACACCGTGATGCACCTGGCGACAGCAGAAGCCCTGATAGCTGCTGGGGAACAGCCTAAGCTCCCACAGCTATATTCCCTCCTAGCGAAGCACTACAAGGACTGCATGGCCGACATGAAGGGTAGAGCTCCAGGTAATCCTATCTAATTTTATCACAAAACAGTACTTCCTTGCTTTCATTCGTTTCCTAGCTAACACTGCCCTGGGCTGTTTTTATTGATTATAACTTTACCAGTGTCACATGTTCAGGCTGTGTTTTACATGTTGGGTGCCTGTAAAGAGACCAAAGGAATCAAAACTTGTGATAGGTGATATCTTTTATTAGACCAACTAGAAGTTCTTTATTTGCAAACTTGCTTCCTTGTAACATTATGAAGATTTCAAAGAGACCAGGTTTCAGAGAGCAAAATCCAGGCCACTTCTGTTTCCAATCCATGTAGCCACCTTAGTGTTAGTCTGTTGGTAATGCCATTAGCTCTTCAAAAATCTACTTTTTTACTAATTTTGCTGCTAGCCGTCTGCATTTTTTTCACAGATGGATGGTGAAACCTCAGCAGTTGCAGGCTAACTCTTGTATCCAGCCAGTTCCACTTTCTCTGAACTTGTGCAAATGCCCAGCAGCCTTGAAAAATAAGGCTGTCTTCACTCTGACAGTAGACAGTGGGTTGAAGTGCCTGACTTCAGACTAAAAACTAGGGATGCTCAACCCCCAGCCTGCAGGTTAAATCAGGCCCACAGAGCCCAGAGGCAGATTAAGGTGTACTGGGGCCCTGGGCAAACACAAAATTGGAGGCGCCCTCCCTCCATGGGAATTGGTTTGGGGGGAGGGGGGGAAGAGGGGTCTCTACCCCTCCTAGTGCTGGCGGGGTCAGGCTGGGTGGACCCTGCCGGGCTGGAGGGCACATGCCCGCCCCTTCTCCCTGCTCCCCACCCCTGCTACAGCCAAGTACATGGCAGACAAGGTTCTTTGGGTAAATCTGACCTCTTTTATTAGACCAGCTAAATAGTTGGAAAAAATTTTCTTAACAAGCTTTTGGGTTTAAAAACCCTTTGTTAGGCTGAGGAAGTTTCTGCAGTTGGTGTGTGCTCTTCCTGGATGGAATGAAGCCAGAGGCTGGTCTGCATGCAAGAAAGTCAGTCAGTAAAGATGCAAATTGAGGAGTCAGTGGGTGAGAGAGTCGGTGGGTTTTGTCAAATCAATCCTTAAACCGATTGTCATCCAAAGAGTGATTTTTGTCCAAGACATTACAGACTTCCTAGGAAAATTTAAAAACAAAGACCACCTTCCCAGCAACACCTTTCTAGCCACCTTGGAAGTTACCAGCATCCTACACCAGGAGAGCATCCAAGCCTGCCTTGCATACGTACAAGAACAAGGTGACAACTCTGAGTACAGACCCAAAGACATTACTGACCTTACACACTTTATCCTCGCTTCACTTTCACTATCCAACACTTCCTCCAGACCCTGGACACAGCTATGGGCACCAAAATGACTCCACAGTATGGCAAACTTTTTATGAGCCACCTGGAAGAATTCCTCAAAGACTGCACCATCAAACCCTTGCTATACTTTAGATATAGCAATGAGATCTTCATCATTTGGACTGAAAACCTGCAATCTCTGATTGACTGAGTTCCATCAGAAATTCAGCAATCATCACCCTTCGATCTGACTGTCTCTTGAGTACTCCAGCACCAACATCTCCTTTTTAGACACGATGATCAGAGGCTATATGTGACAAACTTGTAGAAGGCATGATACTGAATGACAGCCAGCATGGTTTTGTTGCGGGCAGGTCTTGTCGGACGCACTTCATTTTTTTCTATGATCAGGTGACTCGTCACCTGGATGAGAGAAAAGCGATTGAGATCATATACCTCAATTTCCAGAAAGCCTTTGACCTGGTATATGCCATGAGGTACTGATCAGAAAACTGGAAGATATTGGGCTCAACTGTGGGACTGTCAAGTGGGTGTGAAACTGGTTGTGGGGTAGGACTCAGAGTCCAGATAAATGGATCGGTGTCATCCTGGTGAGATGTGGGCAGCAGTGTACCCCAGGGGTTGGTACTTGACCCAGTGCTGTTCAACATGTTCATCAATGACTTGGATGAGGGGGTGAAAAGCCCGCTGGTCAAGTTCACAGATGACACCAAGATATGGGGTTGCGTGGACCCACCCACAGAGAGGCTGCAGATACAAGCAGACCTAGACAGGCTGGCATGTTGGGCAGAACAGAACCAGATGAGGTTCAATGTAGAGAAATGCAAAGTGCTGTATCTAGGAAGGAAGAACCCCCAGCACGCCTACAGGCTGGGCAACGCTAACCTGACCAGCACTACAGGTGAAAGGGATCTGGGGGTAACAATAGACCCCAGCATGAATATGAGCTGGCAATGCAGTAACTGCTAGGGCAAAAAAAACTCTGGCATGCATGAACTGATGCATCTCTAGTAAAACCAAAGACGTGATTCTCCCTATTTACTCAATGTTGGTGCCGTCGCAGCTGGAGTATTGTGTCCAGTTCTGGGTGCTGCACTTTAACAAGGATGTGCTAAAGCTTGAGAGGGTCCAGAGAAGAGCCACCTGTATGATCAGAGACTTGCATGGCAAGCCATGCGAGGAGAGCCTGAGGGATCTCGGACTCTTCAACCTAAAGAAAAGAAGGCTGACGGGAGCTCTCACAGGCAGCTGCAGGGGAGAGGGGGTGGCGAGTGCCAACCAGCGGTTGGCAACCACCCGCAGATGCTGCTGGCAGCATCAGCAGTGGCTAGCGGCAATTGCAGACCGTCCGCAGATGCTGTCAGTGGTGTTGGTGGCGGGGGGGTGGTGGGTGGTGAGCAGCGACCGCCGGCAGTGTCAGTGGCACTTGTTCGCAGGGGATACACTGCCACTCTCAGGGGGTGCACGTGCACCTGCATGCACCCCCTACGTATCACCAATGCCACTAGTTATGGCATGTTACCCCTTCCTCAAACCTATATGGAAAATCCTCAAAGAATTGCAATGGATGGCTGGGAGAGAAATACTCCCATACTAGAAAGCGACCCAATTCTTAAAAAGATCTTCCCAGAACCACCCATCCTAGCCTTCAAACAAACACCAAACCTTGCTACCTCATCACCAGAAGCAAACTTCCTACGGCCCAGAACACACCAAATGGATCCAGATCATGCCATGACAAGAAATGCAAAACCTGCCAACACCCCTCCACCACCACCACAATTACTACACCCCACAACAGAGCCATCAGCATCCCTGCATCTTACAGCTGCACCTCCAGAAATGTAATATATCTCATCCAATGCACCAAATGCCCTGATGGAAAATACGTAGGAGAGACCAAACAACAACTGTGCACCGGAATGAATACACATGGGAAATCTATTAAAGACAAGAATACCCAATTACCTGTGGGGCACATTTCTCAGAAGAAAACCGATCTCTCTCCAGTCTCTCAGTTCTAATCCTCAAAGGGAATTCACAAAATACTTTTCACAGACGAGCCTATGAACTTCACTTCATCAACCTCCTGGATATAAAAAATCATGGACTAAATATAGGCATTGGATTTATGACACGTTATGACCTGCCTGACATCTGACTCCCCAGCTAACTCTCCACTATTTACCTGCTCCATTCATCCCCCTCCCCCCCAAGCCTGTCTCTCACCCACTGACTCTTGAATTTACATCTTCGCTGAGCGGCTTTCTTGCATGCAGACCAGCCTCTGGCTTCTTTACTATTCATTCCATCCAAGAAGAGCACACACCAACTGCAGAAACTTCCTCAGCCTGATGCAAGGGATTTAAATCTAAAAGCTCGCTAAGAAATTTTTTTCCAACTATTTAGTCGGTCTAATAAAAGCTATCAGATTTACCCAAAGAACCTTGTCTGCCTATGTCCTTAGACCAACACGGCTACAACCTCCAACCCCCACACACATGCGCACGTACAGGTGCACAGGCGCAGGCGCATGCTCTCTACTCTCACTCTCTGCACATAGACACAGACCCCCTACACATGCACACCTACCTACACAGACAAACCCACCAACACACAGACAGACCCACACACACACAGAAACAGCCCTCTGCCCTCTTCCCTTATGCCCCATCCCCCAGCCGCCTACAGCTCAGTTTCACTCTCCGCCCAGCCATGAGGTTGAAGTTGGTTGCTTATTCCCAGTTCCTTATTCCCAGTTGCTTATTCCTTATTTCCGGTAAGCAACCAACTTCAGTCTCATTGCCTGGCCTCTGTTACACCTAGGTGCAGGGAGCTTCTGCTTGGCTGTCCCTGGCAGCTGCAGAGGGCCAAGTTGGGCTGGGCTGGGCTGGGAACGCTGCACTGTGTCTCTGTGGGCAGGGTGGCTGCAGGGGGGGTTAGGCTAAGATTAATTTGGGGGGGGGCTATAGCCCCCAAGGCCCTCCCAGCGCTGCTGGCCTCAAAGGCGCAGCATGGCATGACAGCCTTGGCCTGACTGGCCTGGCCTGCCCCCACCACCCCCCACTCCCCTCCAGAGAGGGCACAGCTCTCCCAGCCCGGCTTGGTTTCCTCCCCACTGAGATGCAGTGCCACCTGGCCCGCCCCCTCCTTCAGGCGCAGCTCTCCCAGCCCAACCCCAGCCCTGCCCCCCATCCCCGCAGCCCCATTGGTGGAGAAGAAGCCCTGCTTCCAGCTCCCAAGGAAGCCCGAGTTTTAAACTTGGTGCCAGAAATGGGTGCCAAGTTTAAAACTGTGGCTTTCACTTCCCTGCTGGTGAGGATCCCAGGGCCCTGAATTGGTAGGGGCCCCTGGGCTTGTGTCCAGCTTGCCCATTCATTAATCTGCCTATGACAGAGCCATGTCATCTGGCCTGCAGAGCTGCCCATGGGTCTGAAAATTTGGCACCAGTGGAGCAGTGGCAGCGTTAATTGACTCTTCCTTCCTGCCAAATTTCCAGACCCATGGGGAACCCTGTGGGTCAGACAGGGTGCCTGGGGCCTTAGCCAGGCATGGCAGGGTAGGATTCAGGCACCAACCCCATAGATTCTGCCTGTGGACCACCTTGATCATTCTAAATGGGTGAGCAGCTCATTGCTTGAAGCTACTTTGGTCTACAGGCCATCTTTTGCCAGCTTGTTCCCTTTTTCTACAGGTTCTACTTGCATTACGAATGCAGCAATGCTGCAGCCAGACAAACCAGAGGGCTGGAGGATCCCATTCAGTAAGACAGCAGGAGGATGTGGAGCTGCGATGCGGTCCATGTGCATTGGGCTGAGGTTCCATCATCCTGAGCAGCTGGACACATTGATTGAAGTCAGCATTGAGAGTGGACGAATGACCCATCATCATCCAACTGGCTATCTGGGATCCCTGGCTTCTGCTCTCTTTACTGCCTATGCTGTGAATCGCAAACCCCCTCAACAATGGGGAAAAGGGCTGATGGAAGTGCTGCCGAAGGCTAAAGCTTATGTCCAGAAGGCAGGTTACTTTGTGGAAGAGAACGTGGAGCACTGGTGAGTGTGGTTGTGTTGAGATTACACAAAACCATGGGCCCCAGAATGTCTATGTATTAATTTCTTCAGACTCTCAAGTATAGGACATTCAATAGTATAGGTAACAGGGTCCGCATCCTGTTCTTTGGAAGGGATCCGTTTCATGGAGCTGGACAAAGTGAGCTTGCGCATTACATCTATGCTCACCTTCAAGTCTCTTTTACATGCCTAGAATGAGGGTAGATGGATTTCATTGTCCTGGAAATCGGAAACATGTAGAGGTTTTAATTTCAATCTAGTTTTAAAAAATAAAGCTAGGCAGTTTCAATTTTTTAATTTTAAACGACCGATTTAAAGGTGTAATTTTAATCTTGAAGCTCTAGAAAAAGTCAGACCACTGAAGGAAGTCACTAAGAACCTAGAACCATGGTTTGTTGATGTAACAAACCAGCTTTTGGCTGCTGTAGTCTCTTCTGAAGGTGGAGAGAGAATATTTCCTTTTTAGAAACAAAGTGGGAGTTTCATAGCAGAAAAACGAGCCTTTTGACTGTCTAATCCAAGGCTGTATCACTTGAGTGATTGTGTGCACCCACAGCCACATACTGTGCAGTCCGCACACAGCAAGCTGGCACCTTCAGGTCCTTGCAAGCTTCACAGTAGCAACTGCTCTCAACTGCCCGGGCTGCCCTGCTATGCCCCTGGGGCAGGGGCAGGGGCAGGCAGTGAAAATTGGAGGAGGGAAGGGGAGCCCAGAGATCCTGGCCTCAGCAGGAGAGTGATGTGGGGAGTGGTGTCTGGATGAGAAGCCCAGGCCATGGTTAACCCAATGGGAGCTGCCAGTTGCACAGCCCTGCTATATTCTGTAAATTAAATATCAGGTGAAAGGGGCTGAGATCTATTAGTTGTAAAATCTCAAAGGACCTGTAGGCCAAACCAATCAGTGCTAAAATCTTTCTAGCCTTTTCTAACTTTCCTCATACAGTTTGCATTCCCAACCCCTGACTCTGTTGCCCTGCTTTGGGTCCTCTCCAATCTGTCCACATCCTTCTTAAAACACGGGGACCAAAAGTATTGGATACGGTATTGGATAAAGTATTCCAGTTGGGAACTGACAAATGCAAAGTAGAGTGGGTGCTTTCATTTCAAATGCCTTGCATGTAATGCTTCTGTAAACACAACCCAAGATGGCATTTCCTTGCTTTCACCTGCTAGAAGGGCAGAGGCTATTGTAAGTGAGAAGGGGATTGTACTTTAGACCTCAAAGAGTTTTTTTGTTTTTTTTTAAATTTTCAGAGAGATGTGGAAGGGGATGTTGGGGGGAACTATTTTTTTCAAACTAGTTCACTTCATGTAGGCTTAATAATTTAGAAGCCTCCTCAGCTGGATGGATGTTGATTGACACTGAGCGAGTACCAAAAGTGACAAGTGAATATGTTCCTAAATAAGGAAGTACTGTGTGTAGAGTCATTTCATTAGCCATTCAGATGACTGCCAGTGGGTTGTGAAAGAAGTAGTGTGACGTTTTCAGGATGTGTGAACAAATTTTTAAGGCTAATAATTATTCATGTGATTCACTCAATGTGTGCAAGTCTGCCTTCCAGAAAAAGATGCCAGAACTTTCTGTGGCCACTCGCACAAAAGGCAAATACTGGAGCAGGGGACTCCAACTAGGCTGTAGACTGAATCTTGTTTGGCAAACAATTGGGTGAACAATATACTGGCAGCACACTGGTTCATAGTTTCATAGTTGGTAGGGTCGGAAGGGACCTGAGCAGATCATCAAGTCCGACCCCCTGCCATGGCAGGAAAAAGTACTGGGGTCAAATGACCCCAGGAAGGTGTTTATCTCACCTCCTTTGAAAGCCCCCCAGGGTAGGAGCCAGCACCACTTTGCTTGGAAGTTGGTTCCAGGTCCTAGCCACCCTGTGAAGTAGTGCCTCCTGATGTCTACCCTGAATCTGTCAGCTTGGAACCATTATTTCTAGTCACTCCTGGTAGTGCTCGGGGGAACAGGAACAACCCCAATGCCTGCTGGTCCCCTCTGACTAGTTTGTAACAGGCCACTAGATCCCCTCAGCCTTCTCTTGTGGAGGCTGAACAGGTTCAGGTCCCTTAGCCTCCGCTCATAGGGCCTGCCTTGCTGCCCCCTGATCATGTGGGTGGCCCTCCTCTGAACCCTCTCAATGCTGTCCACATCCCTCCTGAAGTGCGGTGCCCAGAACTGGACGCAGTACTCCAACTGCAGCCTGACCAGTGCCGCGTAGAGGGGGAGGATCACTTCCTTGGACCTGCTTGAGATGCATCTGTGGATGCATGACAAGGTATGGTTGGCTTTCCTGACCGCATCCCCACACTGTTGGCCCATGTCCATTTTGGCATCAATAATGACTCCAAGATCCTTTTCTGCCTCTGCACTGACAAGAAGGGAGTTCCCCAGCCTGTAGGTCTGCTGCTGGTTCTTCCTCCCCAAGTGCAGCACCTTGCACTTGTCCATGTTGAAACCCATCCTGTTCTCATCCACCCACCCCTGTAGCCTGTCTAGGTCCAATTGCAGCCTATTCCTCCCTTCTAGCGTGCCCACTTCTCTCCACATCTTAGTGTCGTCTGCGAATTTGAACAGGGTGCTTTTTACTCCCTTGTCCAAGTCACCGATGAAGATGTTGAACAGCGCGGGTCCAAGGACCGAGCCCTGGGGGACCCCACTGCCCACATCCCTCCTAGTCAAAAATGACCCATCCACCACCACTGTCTGGGTGCGGCCCTCCAGCCAGTTAGCGACCCATTCATAAGCAATTCAGAAGACAAAGGAGGCTGTAATTCAACATAATCAGCTACAATTAACAACTTGATCATATTTAGCTCTAACTTCTTTCATTAATAAGTTCCAGAGCTCTGGTGAAGCCATGACCAAGAGGTTAATTTATTCTTAGAGGTGGACCTGAGCCAGCAAGTTCAGACAGATTTTGAAGGGCTCTGGGTTTCCAGCTATCAATATATTTATATCCCTCTTCCTATCCTTAGCATGTCGGCATTTGTGGACTACAACACCGCAATTTGGATCCTGTTTTGGATTCTGAATCCTCGCTTTCAAGCACACCCAGGTGTGCATAGTGGTGATCTGAATTCAGGATCATGGGTCCAGTCCAGTCCAGTCTACTTACTTCCGATGCTGTGAATTCCTTGTAATGCAATGGCTTATTTAAGTCTATCAGTACACCACTGTCCTCTTCTGGGCAACCCTCTTCTCTCCCCGCCCCAGATCTACTTCTGTGCTCATTAGTATTTCTCTTTTCATTTCCTTACCATCATACTGATGATTTTTCCATAAGCTGACAGAAACTATAAAAGGCTCGGACTCTTCAGTTTGGAAAGAAGGCGGCTCAGGAAGGATATGATAGAGGTATATAAAATTTTGAAGGGTGTGCACAGGGTGAATAGGGAACTCATATTCCCTGTTCACTGATACATATTAACTATGCAATGCTTAAAAAAGTAACTTCTCTTGTTACTTTTAAACCTGTTTCCTACTACTAATTTAAGTGGTAGTAGGAGATGGATTTAAAACTAACAAGAGAAATTACTTTTTTAAGCACTGCATAATTAATGTGTGGAACTCCTTGCCACAGGAGGCTGTGCAGGTAGACAGTATAGCCAGTTTCTAAAATGGACTAGATAAATTCATGTTTGATAGATGTATTAGTAGCTATTAAACACAACCCTCGGGGATGACATCCTTTGGCACCTCTAAACCAATGATGATGGATGCCAGGAAGAATATAACAAGGGACAGATCTCTCTTCATATATCGTATTCATATACTCTCCTTCTAAAACATCTACTCATGCCACTGTCAGAGACGGGCTACTGGGCTAAACGAACCATTGGTGTGACCCAATATGGCACTGTTATGTTCTATGACTGGATAGAGGTTTGGCATTTGGTTGAGATGGTGGTCCCAGTGCCCCTCACTATGTTTTTAGCTGATACTGTATTTATCATGTCAGTGTTGGCTCCTGCTGTACTGACATTCTGCTTACATCATTTCTTTTTATTTTTCTGGTTTATAGGTCCTATTTTGAAGAGCAGTGGAGAAAATACCTGAAGATGAGGGGTATTTTGGATGGGGTATCTTCTCCTACCTTCCCAAAAGCATATGGCGTGAAGGAGAGAGATATATTTTATACCTCCGTGAGTTACTCTGGTTGGGGAGGCAGCAGTGGGCACGATGCCCCAATGATTGCTTATGATGCCATGCTTGGTGCAGGTAACTCCTGGACAGAGCTTACTCACAGGGCCTTTTTCCATGGTGGTGACAGCGACTCTACGGCTGCCATTGCTGGGTGCTGGTGGGGAGCCATGTATGGTCTTGAAGGAGTCGGTGTAAATCTTTATAGACAGCTGGAGTTCAAAGAGAGGCTAGAGACTGTAGCAGAGTCTTTGTATCAGATAAGTTGGCCATATAAAGGTGATGACTCTTGAAATCACATGTCAAACTAGTTTCAGCCCATGCAAGTATGTGTAAGCTTCTTGTGCTTTTTCAGTTAATGTGTAGTACAAAACCCCCAGCATTAAAGCAACCTGGCATAGCAGCTGTCTTTTTGGCTTCCTGACAGCACTAGCATAAATGCACTTCTAGAAGAATCAAAGCATGGACAGTTGGGCTAAGACTTTGTAAGCAATTGTTAGCATGTCTGCAGCCTCTCTCCCCTAGCCCTCTCCCTCCCAGCTCCAGTGCTGTAGTCAGGATGGGAGAAAGCAGGGAAGGGAGCTTCATTTTGGGGTTTGCCTAGCATGGCCTTGAGGCAGGGGTGGGTGGATTGGAGCCCCCCACTGCATCACCTTAGCCCTGCTCCCAAAGGGACAAACATATATTAATGAAGGTACTCTGCTTTGGAGTGCCTTCATCTAAACCCTCATTAAATGAAGGTTAATTTGTTGCATGACTGGCCACTTTTAAAGCACTCTACAGTCATACACTTCTGTCAGGGCAAGGTTGTAGGTCCTTTCAAGGGGCTGATCATGAGACAAATCACTTCTGTCTGTGCCCCAAGTGATTTTTAAGGGCTTTCCCTAGAACAGATACAGCAGAGGCTGTGCCAAGGCAAATCTCCCTTCCTTCATCTACCATCATTTAAGTGACTATCCTCCTGCTACAAGGAGCCCCCCCTGCTACATGTCCTTTGTCTTCCTGCTCTATGGCAGTCACTTAGCTTGGTTTAAACTAGATGGCTATTGCTAGCAGCACAGATCAGTGCCAAAGGGGCTGCCAGTTGTTAGGCCAGACTGAGTGCAGTGTTGCTGCAAGCTATTAGGGCTGTGCTGATTCGATTTGGAGGAGATTCAGCCCGATTCGGTGGCCAAATCTCCAATTCTGAATTGAATCAGGGGACCAATAAAAAGGTCCAAATTGATTTGAAGCTCTCCGAAACAACTTGGAAAAGATTCAGAGACCTTTGGTGATTCGGGCAGTCCCCGCCCGCTGCAGCAGGGAGCTGGAGCTGGACTTGGAGCTGGTAAAGAGGGGGTGGGAGAGGGGAGGGCTGGATGTGGGGGGAGGGGACCATGGGGGATCCCTGCCAGGCCCCATCCCATCCCCTGCCTACTCTCCCAGCCCCCTGCATGGGGGCTCTGCCTGCCCCAGCTCCTGGTGTTTAAAAAAAAAAAAGCCCCACTCACTGGGTGGTGCCAGGTGGGGGGCGATCCCTGCTGCCCTGCACTGCCCCATAATGTGTGTGGGGGCTCTGCCACAAGCCCCCTCCCCATGGCTGCCCCACCTGCCCCAGTTCCAGCCATTTAAGAAAAAAAACCCCAAAAGCCCCCAAACTCGCCGGTTCCTGCACCTGTCTCAGGGCTTTGAGAGGGCTTGTGAAAGAGCACCCCACATGGCATGGGGCAGTGGGGATCACCCTACGCCAGGCAGGAACTGGCGAGTTCGGGGTTTTTTGGGTTTTTTTCCTTAAAGGGCCAGAGCTGGGGCAGCCATGGGGCGGGGGCTGGGACAGTGTGGGGGGGAAGGACTCACGGCAGAGCCCCCGATGCAGTGGGGAGTAGCTGGTATCACCCCCCGCTGGGCAGCACCCTGTGAGTCGGGGCTTTTTTTTCCCAAAGTGCTGGGAGCTGGGGTAGGCAGGGCAGCCATTGTCAGGCTGGGAGAGCGAGTGGGGGATGGGCCTGTGTGATTCGGATATTTGGCAGCAGCCAAATGTCTGAATCAGATTTGGAACAGTGATTCGAATCACCAAATTGAATCGCTGTTCCTCAAATCCAAATCCAAAGTGAATACTAGCCGCTTCAGAGAGGCCTACAAGCTATGTGGCTATCTATACCCACGCAAGCTAGTTTTAAGACAGCATGGAGCAGATCTACATAGCTGGCACTTGCGGGTGCAGCCTATGTAGACACTGCATGGGACTATTAATGCCAAGTACCAGGCTCATTTTCCACATACGTGTTCTGGTGGAGTCACTTTCTGCTTTAATTAACTTCCCATGAAAACTCTGTGTAAACATTTAATTTGATCATTTCTCTAGTCACCTGCAGAATTTCAAAGAACCTTTGATGATTAAAAATATCTTGGGAGGTAAGGATGGTTTGTGCTTCCTTTTATTGACCAACTGTATTGTTGGGAGCGCCATTGGACACTTTCCTGCATCAGGTGCCCTGTCTCAGGTCACCCCCTGCCAAAAGCTTGTTCAGCAACTCTCCCAATGATACAGTTGGTTCAATAAAAGATGGCACGAAAAAACCCTTGCTTTTCATATGCTTCCTGGATCATCATAACTAAAACAACACTCCAACCCTATTCATACCTCTTTGATACTGTGGTTTTCGATTCTCCTCACTCCCAACTACAAGTAGAATTTTGCCATTCACTTATTCAGAATAATTCTAATGCTAGGGAGAGAACCTGACGTTTGCATTTTGCATAGGCTTAAACTAATTGTATATTTAATTCTATTCAAACAATTTAATCTACAGGTTACTGCTGCTAAATACTTTCTGCCACAAATTAAATGCTGTAACTAATCAGTTTTCCTTTAAATACATGATTTGATACAATTCTGAAGTGTTTGGGTATTTCTTTTTAGTGAGAGATTTCAGAAATGTTTAGAAGAAGACCCATCGCTAAATGGTGTGTGTGTACCTGTTAGAAATTATATTGGTCTGAATTTTACTAAACTGGACCTATCCTTATGAAGAACTACAACTTGGGCAATGAAGACTGTGGTTAGCAAATGTGGCCCAATGAAGAGGCAGAGACGTATTACATTATTGTAGGAAGTTTTCTGTAAATTTTATGCAACTCCTTTGTACCACTTTGAATATCCCCTGCTTTGCATTTGCATCTAATGGAAGTTGAATTGTATGCATCCTTTTCTCAAGATAGCAGCTTCCAATCTGGTTATCTGTTAAGGTATTTACAATACTCTGGTAAGGAGGATCAGTAAAAGAAACCAAACAAACCCTCATCTGATGTGTAACGTGGATTTACAAAATACTATGTGACATTGCAGACTATGGATTTACCCCGCAAAAGTATCTGCTACCCCATTGTTTCAGACTTGGCATTGTGCCTTCTGATACTGTTGAATAGAGGCAGTCCTCCGACTTACAATACAATTGGTTCCTGAAAACCAGTCTTAAGTTGAAATGTAACTCGGAACCAATTTTCCCATAGGAAACAATGTTATAAATGGGGGATTGGTTCCTGAACCAAGGCCTGATACCCTATTTCACCAAAAGTAACTCAGTCAATTATAGATGAGTAATATTGCTACATAATGTATTTATATTGTAAATAGCCATCATCTTGATTTGGAAGGACTTCTTTGAGGTGACTTGGATTTGTTAAAGGGTTCTTGGCTGGAGTCTTCTCAGGAGTCTTGGCTGCAGGTTTTTCTGGGGTCTTGTCTGCTTTCTTAAAGTAAGTGTGCAAGGAAGTTTGGACAGATATTCTCCAGGGAGATGGGCGGCGCAGTGAACTTGTTTGCTGGCGTGGCATGGTGTCGGGTTGAGTGTTATAAAGTCAAAACAGGGTGTCAATTTATAAACCTTGTAAGTGCTGTTGTAACTTGAAACAATTTAAGTCAAGGACTGCCTGTACATTGAAGATATTAAAGAGCTGCCAATTGTAACATGCATAGCTGCTGTGGTGATATTGACGCTTCTGAGCTAGCTTGGGTCCTGGGAGCAGTTTAGCTTTGATAGCACAGCATTCAGTAAGGGTTTAGTGAAGTCCACCTCAGAAATGGGGTTGATGCTTGGTCAATCGGCTTGTACCAAGCTCCACACTACAGTGACTAAACTGCTAGCAGAACCTGAGAGAGGCAGCTGGCTTTGATATGTCCACAGGAGGTGCAGTCCTTCTTCAGTGCTCTTGTAAAAAGTGTGTGTGTGTATACCAGCACTGTACCTAGACTCCTGGTGCCCCAGGGAAACTTTTAGTATCAGGTCCCCCTTTGCCAGAGATAATGATGGTAATTATTTTCACCATTTTTAGGCCCCCTTTGTCTGGGCGTTGGGTGGCTGCCTGGTTCACCCATGCTTGTGTCCACGTGCATGTGGCAAATGAAAAATAAAGTATTATTAATGATAAATAAAGTATTATGAAAATATCATCCAGGAGTCACGTTTTGCTTCTGACTCTCATGAGCAAGGGAAAGTCTCATACACAGCCCTATAACTTCAAACCAATCCAAGCCCAGGGCAGCAAGCATACATATATATTCATTTTATACTTGGGGATGCAGAGTCATGGTAAAGTGTGCGTGTTTGAGAGAGATCCACAGGCTTAGAAGTGTTGAGGTGGTGAATGGAAAAAGATGGAGACATAAGGCCATAGAAAGGAAGAGTGCTGAACTGAGGCAGGACTTTGTATGTCTTTTTGTCTCAGACCAACACGGCTACCAAGTACACCCCTGGAACTGAGGCAGGACATGCACCAACTTGTGCTGGTGTCCTCTGTAGCTGTAATGGCAAAGGCAGAAGTGCTGCTGCTTTCTCTCATGTAATGATGGAGCCTGGGGAGACTCATGCTATTGTGCAAGGCAGCAGCATGCCTGCTAATAATGGTATCAATGACAGACTCAGAGCCCTGCTTCTAGCCCCCCAAATACACAAAACTAATGGCCAAATTCGTAACATTGGCAAAAAGATTAACTTACCAGAGTGCAGCTTGCCTCCTTTTCAGAGTCCTTTGCATGGGACTCACTGAGAAAAACTCCTTTAGTGTTGCAGGACCCTGTAGTTTTGTGTGCTCAGAGGCAGGCAGCCAAACCGGTGAAGCCCTTAGCCACCTCTGCTCAGCAGGGAACAAGGGGCTACTCGCTGCTTAAAGAGAGTAGCAACAGGAGTGGAGCCTCAGCATCTCTGAGTAACACAGCAGGGTATTGAGTTAAATTGTCCATTTGAAACGCATAAATTGAGCAAGCAGGCTGTCTAGGACTTCAGCGTTCCTCCCTTCCCGGAGCCTCAAAGTCCCTGAGTAGAGCTGGCTGGAAAAAAAGCCTCATGAAACTCTGTGAAGTTTTGGGGGATTTTTTGAGTAAAAAAAAATTCTAGATGTTGCTTCAGAGGGAAAAAACCAACCCTAATTTAAGTCCACACACCCAGAAACACCTTTTACTGGTGTTAAAGAAGGTTGAGAGAAAATATGGTGGAAGGGGAGGGGTTTTTGCCTCATTTTTAACTAATTAACTGAACTTCACATTTGGAAAGGGAACCCCAAATATTAACCAAAAACATTTTTTTTTTAAGTTTCTTGTTAAAGACTTCTTCCATGAATCTTGTTTCTTAAGTCAGCAATAGTCCTGAACACTACAGAGGGAATGAACTGTGATGGGTTCTCAGCCATCAGGGCATTATTGATCATGTGACAATGCAGATGTTTCCTGGCACTGCGGTCATCCAAAATGTTCAAGCAGTAAGTGGGCCTCCAGACCATGCTGTTAGGCCTGAATGCTGCCAGACATGATGTACCTGCCATTTATTATATGTTGGAGAGGCAGAAACTAAGCAGTGATACAGAATTTCTGCAGGTGTGAATAGCCTCACCATGTATGTGTATCCTACAGATGACTCTTTCTGTACTTCAGTTGCCACTTCTTCAGAGCTGTGGCAGCCCAGACCCGAGGGATCTATCCCTATCACTGTGTCCATACACCTGCCCATATGTGTATGGCCCTCCTGCTCCACATCGTTTAAAAACATTCTGTGCCCTCCTCTTCTGTTTGTGCCCATGCAGGGAAGAGAATCTGTATTTGTGCAAGCTCCTGACAATGCCTTTTACCTCATACTTCTGTTTCTCCATCCACAGAAGGTGGATGTTGATACAGGACTGCCACAAAAGGTCAGCAAGATTCTTGGATATGCAGGAGTGGCAAATGGTTGTTAATAAATATTGTTTCAACATGGAAATACTACCCGTGTTCCTCCAGAGAACACACCCCACAACTAACAACCAGGAGCACAAGGCCAAGGAAGGGGGCAGCTTGTTTGTATTTCTGAATCTGATGGGGTATTTGGGACTATGGTGTAAGGCAGTGAGGTCCAATGTTTTTGGCAGGCATGCCACAAATTAGCCCTGTACTCTTCCCAGCTTCCACTCTGATCTTCTTCCACTACTTGATCTGCTGTCTCCTCTCAGCCCTGTGCTCCCTGCCCAATTTGCTGCTTTGCTTTCTGCTTCCTGCCCTACCTGCTGCTGCATCTGTTGTCCCATCTCCGATCCATCATGTGCTACACAGAGGCTGCCCCTGCTACTTGTGGCAGTTCTTCAGGTCGGCTACCCGTTCTAAGGCAACGTAATTGGCTCTGTGAGCAAGATGCTGTAACACAAGCTGTTTTGCCACATCTCAGCTCTAAGAGTAGAGCCATAGCTGCAGAAACCCTGAAGCCAGCAGGAAGTGGGATGCTCTTGATGTTGACAGCTGAGACATCTGCTTTTGTTCCAATCCCATTATGGCTGCCAGTGCCAGGACTCTTCATTAGCGCTTCTGGAGCTAATCTCTTTCACAACCAAGTTGCCTTTGTTTTGCAAGAGCCATATCCCATGCATGGTTAGAACCTGAATGTATGAGTGTGTCTCCACTTGACACACAACAATCTTGGATACCGTGCAGGAATTTCTCTTGGCAATGTGCATATCCCTGCGTACCTGTAGGGGGCAGGAGTTTCTATGAAAAAGAACATGTTCAAAGCCTATACTACAGAAAAACAGCCACGATATTAATCACAATTTCAACACAGTTTACTACAGTTCTCAGGTGTGTTGTATAAAACGTGTAGTGCAACATAGTACAAAGTTCTTTAAAAAAAATCCCAAACAGTTTTCCACATCATGCACAGATAGGTTTCTGTCTTTTCTTCTTAGTTCGTGACAGAAGTTTAAAGCAGAGAACGTTGTCCGAAAAGCTTCATGTTAAAACTTGTTACAGGAAGTCTGGTTTATATTTATAGAGATATATATATGTATAAAAAAGTTTAAGACTGGGCAATGTGTTGCCAGAACCATGGATAAACCATTTACAAGGTAAACTGTGTAACGTAACGGCTGCTTACAGAGGAATCCTATGAATTGGCCCTCAAGAATATATCTAGTTCAGACTGAAGCCACCGAAGGGTGTGTTTTTGGCCGCTGGAGGTCACTGTGGGAAAACTTTCCACAGTAAAAAAGGAGGGGGGAGGAAAGCAGTGCCAGTTAAAAAAGGATAGACACACAGCTGCTACTGGGTCAGTACAGCAGACTTCCAACACAGAGATGAGGAGCAGCGTTCTCTTAGGGCAGGAAAGGCTCCTGCCAATTTCTTGTTTCCTTTAAAGCTGAAATGAATTGCAGTTCCTGCCCTGAAGCAGTTATGTACAGTAGATTTTACATCTATAAAACAATACCACTGGCTAGGGCTCCTTTTTTTTTTTTTTTCTTAATCATGCTTTTTCATCTCCATTCATTTTTCATTTCTCTCATCTAAGCAAGCTCCTTCATATATATGGAAGGGGAAGACAAGAGTGTGTGCACAGTATGTAATATTATGATACCTGCAGAGGGCCTATTAAGCAGTGACAGTTTGATGGAGGGACATCTCAAGGAGGTACATATAAATTCTGGATGTCTCAATGTAGCAAATTTTTCACTCATGAAGGAGAGGGAAGTGTTAAAATCCATGGAAGATGGAGTCTCCCTCCAGTGGAGTGAGGCATTATGCATATACACCCCTCTCCCTACATCCTTTGAGAGATTATATGTATTGCAGATTTCTGCATGACTTCAGCAGCACGTGGCTCTGAAACAGGCAGGCATCAGGGTAAAATCTACTAACCCTACAGTTATCAGGAGGCGGTGGCTGGATCAAGAATCCCTCTTCAGGAGGAATATCCTATTGGTCTTGAGAGGGCAGAAGCTGTGGGACTCGTTCTTCCCTCTCACATAAATTGGTAGCATGCTGTGGTATATCCCCATCTGAATTCAACCACTCTGCAAAAGATAAATGGTCAGATTTGCAAGGAAGACATCAAGGAAGACAATGAAAGGCCATTTCAGGCAAACGTTCTCCTTCCCCAGACATAACTCTGAGGACATGTTAGAGAGGAGGGAGATTCCTCCCCAAGACGCAGCAGGGGTATCTGGTTTGTTGGACTGGCAGGTGGGTGCCTGTGCCTATGTGGCTCTAGTTTGGCTTGCAAACAGCCATTATCTTTCACAGAAAGAACAGCACTCACTGCCACAGCACTTGCTTACAAAGATGAGACAATTTGTGGATAGGGTGAGGTTGAGGAGGAAGAGGTGGTTTTCCTACCAAAATAAAGCCCAAGTAACAGTAAATGGCACATAAACACACAGAAGGGAAAGGGGAACAGAATTCATTTCATTTCAAATCAAGAGGGCACAGAAACAGCCAAGGACCAGTTTCCATGTATTGGCCCCTTGCCTAGTTTCAACTCACACAAGGAAACAGTGCAAGCCATCGGAGGAAGAAATGAAACTTGGCCATTAATTCCACACTCCCACTGCCCAGCGTGGCCATAATCTAGCACCCTTGCAGAACTGTTTGGATACAATGAATCCCAGTCCATGGAAGCTCTCCTTTCCCCATTCCTAGAGTCATTACTTTGGTCAAATTGAAGGTCTTCAGAAGCTGGATCCAGCCTGTTACCTCCATGCCACAGAAGCACCCAGGCAACCCAGGCTTTGAGAAGGTGGCAGAAGGGTTTATTAAGACCAAGGTGAGGCTCATGTCTCCGATAAACCAGACTCTGTGGGAAGCAGGGCCAGAGTACCCTGCGGTGCCTCTCCCCCGTCCTTCAAAACAAACAAGACTGTGTTAGTTCAAACTGAAAATGCCTTGGGTATTCAGACCTGCCCAAGAACAAGGAAACACTCCATGGAGGGAAGTTCCTCCTCTACTGGAAGAGCAGTGGATGGGGCACATGGACGCACTGAGCCTGTAACTTTTTCAGAGGGACTTGCAAAAACCCAGCTGCCCTTGAGGTGCAGTTCTGGTTCTGTTCACTTTGGAATAGCGAGCAGCTGGCTTGGTTCACCTCTGGGAGAGGTTTTGTTCATTGCAACATGGAAGTCCCAAAGAGGGAGAACTGACTTGGTTTCAGAACACATTTGCTCCCCACAGAGCATCTAGAAACACCCAGCAAACAGGAGTCTCACAAACAGAACGGCCCCTGGAAGGAGGGGAAGCCTGTGGGCTTTGGGTAATAAAAAAAAAAAAAATTGCAGCCCAAAGGACAACAACTGATGAGAACAAAATAAATCCAAGAGGAAAATCTGCTATGTACAGCAAGCACGTGGACTCTCCATCCACTTCTGTGACTAGTCACAGAGCCTCACATCCTCTGGTCCCCGGAGACCGGGGACTACAGAGCTGAGTCATGAAGCTGAAATACAGATGCTGAAACACTTGGAACAAGAACAAAAACCACGCTGTTCCTTAAGGGTCCAGGTGTGTGTGTGTCTGTCTGTGTCCATCTCGCTCTACAGATCTGTCCAGGTCCTTCCTTTTTAGTCTATAGTTCCAGGGTGGATGCTGAGTACAGGTGGCTCTAGGCAGGTGGGGGAGTAGTTGAGGTGGGGCTCTTTGATCCACAGCAAGGGGACCCCATTCTTGCCCTCTGAGTTCTTGCTGGAGTTCCGGCTCTTAAATCGCACCAGCAGGATGGTGATAATCAGGATGCCAAAGATGGGGAAGGGGTAGAAGAACACAAAGTAGAAGAGGGCATCGTTGGAGCAGATGATGGACTGCAGAGTGGAGCCTACAAAACAGGGACAAAGGAAGGTCATGTTTTACAACTTCCCTGCAACCCAAGAGCCAGGTGGTATATGGTACGTGTGCGTGCGCACGTGTATATGTAATAAAATATAAGTGGAGATTCACTCAGTCACCTCAATCCAAGAGCTTGGGCTTTGAGAAAAAATATCAAGTATTTTAAGGCTCAGCATGAGAGGAGTATTGTTTCAGAGGAAGGATCACTTTCTATTCTGCCTACTAGAGTAAAGTAGCTGAAGTCTGAAACTTTTTTTTATCAGGAGACTCACAAAAAGGTAACAGAGCATGAAGAACCTTGAGATGATGGGGTTTTGTCTGCAAGGACACAGTCATGACCTTGCTCTTCAGTGCCAGTCTCCAAGGTCTTTACTGACCTACCTTCCAGACAGTGTTCTGTTCCTGCTCTACCATTTCCAATGAAGGGAGGTCCCTGTTAAAAGAATAGCATCCCAGTGCAATACAAATCCTAGTTATAAGGACTCCATACACAAGTCAAACCTGAGATGCACATAGTAACCGGCCACATATTCTCCGATCTAGTGCAGCTGAATGATTCAGGGCAGAGGTTCCCAACCACCAGGCCGTGGCCCGGTACTGGGCCACGAAGGGTTGGCTGCCGGGTGGTGGCATGAGCCCCCTACTCAGACCCCCGTCTGTCCACTTGGGTGAGCAGCTTCTGGGGTTAAAGCTGAGCTTCTGGGGTTAAAGCTGGGTGGCAGGGCAGCCCCAGGAGGGAGGCAGCTGGCTCCGTGAGCCCTGTCCTGCTCCAACTGGTCCACAGTATAAAAAAAGGTTGAGAACCACCGATTTAGGGTCCCCAAAGGGCAATTGAACAAGCAGATTTTTTTGGGATATTCCCTCCCGCATGTCTCAACTGCATCCCTCCCAGCTGATGGCAATTCTCCCCCGTGTGAAAGGGAGAGGTCATAGAATATGACAAGAAGGGAGAGTGACTGGTAAAGCTGTGCTGTAGTTCTGCCTCACATCTTGTATGTAAGCTCCTACCCCCTTATTTGAACTACATCCCATAGGTTCACCACAGCCTGCCATGTACCCCCATGTCAAGAAGTTCTTAGGTCTTGGTGTCAGTGACACAGGGATCTACATTCTCTTCCAACCTTTGCAGTTATTTCCCTCTTCTCCTGGCTCACAGATGACACAGGGGCTCACTGGAGTGGGAGCCTCATATCCCAACCTTGTGTTTTCAATCCTAGGAGGGGATCTGGACATGGACTGTACTGAATAGACCACTGGCACACTGACACTGCACACTCCAGAAGACAAGGACAGTTCAAACAACATATTCCCCGAATTTCTTGCATCAGAGCCTAACTGGTACTTTCCCCCACCTCACGCATGGGGCAAGGAAACTGGGCATGTAGGACAGCTCCCCTTAACAAGGACACTGGCTTGAAGGCTGGCAGCAAAGCCAGAGGCACCTGTATCAAGCTCCTCAAAAGTTACAAGCAAGTCAATACAGCCTCTTGATGTACTGCTACCCCTTAAGATACTGGATTTCATGCTGATGCACAGACAGTAGCACAGGCTCCTCGCAGAAGGGCCTGGTTCAGCTTCTGCTGGGAACTTTAGAGGTGGAGTAGGTGTCTCAGCTAAAGCCCCTGTAGGGTCATTAGCTTACTTCAGTTCAGGGCTTTCACTTGTCAGGGATGTTGCAGAAGTAACGTGATACATCTGGGGCACACACTCCAGCAATCCTGATGTTATACTTGCACAATCCTGGCACACTCACGTAAGCATATCCTGATGTTACTGTTTCCCTTTGTTTATTGTTTCTCAGCTAATTCAGTGCTGGTAAAAGCTGCCAGGATTGGGTGCCCTGGAGAACCATCCTTTTGCTGACCGATGAAATGGTACAGCATGAGGAGCTTGGATTGCATTTGCTGCCTCTGCTTACCTCAGCCCTCACCTGGAGGAGCCTCCTGTGGGGAGGACAAGGCAAGGCAGGCTGTGTGCCCCAGGCAATCCCTGGCCTTCATTTTCAACCAGGGATGAAACTGGTGTTAACTGTGATGACAACAGTTTCACTACAGGGGACCCTTATCCACAGGGCTTAGGTTAGAATTTAGACATGCTAACCTCCACCTGGCCAAAAGACCTCTCCATAGATCCATGTCTCCCTCCCTCCCAGCCAGAGGCATTTCTTGCATCCTCTCACCTGTACCCTGCACGTGAACAGCAATGGTGCCAGATTCCTCCTCAGCCAGCTTTTCCCATCCCCCACTGGGGTCTGGCAGCCATTCCTCCACGTGACAGGAGTAGTTGCCAGCATCAGCAGTGCCTGCCTGCAGCACAGTCAGTCGGAAGAGAACCTCTGGAAGCGCAGCCTGCCTTCCCAGCGGCTAGTCTCCTGGCTAAACACTGCATCTAGGCCCACACTCAGCAGGGCCTCCTGCTCCTCCTCCTCCACGCGACCTCCTCCCTCTTTAGCCTTCAGGTTGTACCAGGTCACAGCAAAGACAGACTCCTGGCTGGAGCGGGACAGAACATTGCAGTCCAACAGGAAGGACTCCTTCTCCACCACTGTGAGGTTGGAGTTGGTGGCATCCACCTGCAGTGTGGGATCTGAAAATTGGAAGACATGTCATTAATGAAGAGAAAGGGGGATAGGGGGACAGCAAGCCAGTGAACAAATGCTGAACACAGTCTACATTTTCCTGGTGCTAAATGCAGAGCCACAGCCTTAACGTTAATCGGGAGTGGTCAAAGTGTAACCCATGGGTTCACTGGAGCCTGCTGCAGCGTTGTTTGTGGCCTGGGAAACTGTATCCATCTTTCTCCAAGTCAAAACAGGAATTTGTCAATAGCTTGGAAAGGCTTTAGTTCTGCTGCGCAAAAGACCCAACAGCAACCCTGAAGCCAGGAGCATGCATGTGCTTATATGCTTATGTGTAAAAAAAAAAAAAAAAAAAAAAAACAAATCACAGCAGTGTTGTTAATTCAGATGTGTAAAACACAAAAATCAGGTAATGCAAACAATTATTTTGTATATTATGGAACGATATAATTTTCCGTACCACAAACACTGCAAATACTCTACTGGGCGAAACCAACTTATTTTTTCTCCCAAGTTCTAAAATGTATAAATCTTGCCACAAAGACCTTAAAAACCAAGGTCTCGTTTGGAACCAAGGTTGAATTTTTTTCTGAAAAAAAAAAATCTGAAGTGGATCAGACAATTACAACCTCCCCCCACCAAATAGAGATGCAAAAGACAGGTCCAAAATACTCATTTTTTGCCACTTTGATGCACAGGAGGGAGATAAAGCTAGTTTCACCAATTCCCCAACCTGAGACCCAGTACCTAGGACATAAATTTAGTTGATTAAAGTCTGACTTCAAGAGCAGTTAACATTTGATTTAGTAACATTGCCAGAGAACATGGATTTTGGAAAACCTATCACAGTGACACAAAAAAATTAATTACTGGAGTTCTGAGCTTCCATCTAAAAGATTAAAAAAAAGTGTCTAGTTTTTTTTGTTGCAGAGATTGAATATGAAGGTTGATCCAATTGCTAGGGGGAGCTGTAAATAAAAGACATCTAATTTTCTCCTTAAAGTGTTGTTTGGTGGGGAGTGTTCCTGTTCCACAAGGGGTCTATGGGAAGTAGGCTATGATCTTTTCTTACCTATTCATTCCACATGCACAAGTCTCAGCTATTATCAGGTTTTCTAACTTTAAGACACTTGAGTTCCACGTGAAAGAAGAGCTCAGGGGATTACTTTTGGCAGGTTTTTGGTTTGGGGTTACTTTATGTTCATTCTTGGATTGAGAGGGCTGCTAATTCTGTATGGGGATCTTCAAAGAAGCTAGGAAGCCCAGGAGGCAAGAGCCTTGATGAGCTGCCCACCTCTCATGGGGAGCAACGAAGGGTGTCAGCTTCTTAGGGTCAATGCAAGGGAGAGGCTAAAAAAAGGAAGATTTCTCTCTCATAAAAACTTCCTGTAGGCTATGCGGAGGAGCTGAAGAGGAGGGGAGGTTTGCCCCCGATTCGATTCCAGGCCTCCTGCCACCTCCATTTTCCCACTCCCTTAGTGGTAGACATTTGGAAGTAGCTAGGAGCATGGCTCCCCCCTTCAGATTTTGTAAGGAGTAGAGGAGGGGAGCCCTGCTTCCAAGGGTCCAGAGAGGTTCAAAGAAGTGGGACTCAATTCTTGTGAGCTGTAAGTCTGGAGCATCAGGATTCCCCTCTGAAGGGCAGTAGATGGGGACACCAATTAGCAGGACTCCTTCTCCCTGGCTTCTTACAGGTTTGCTGGATCAGGGTGACTTTCTAGCAGTTCTCAGGTGTTTGAAAGGGTCTTACGCTTAATAATTAATCAAGGAAGGTGAGGCTCCAGCCACACGTGTCAGTGATTTGAGTTCATATCCTCCAAGGAGTCCTCAGGACAAACAGGGAAGACAAACCCTGAGATTCTTGAAGCCTCTAAGACAAAACGGGAGCAAAGAAAAAAAACCAAAAGACAAAAAACCAAAGCTTTTGGGAAAAAAATGAAAACAAAAATGCTGCCAATCTTCCCGGCCTCTGCAAACAAAGAAAAGGCAAAAAATTCTCCTCTTTTCTGAAGTTGTCCACAAGAGACTTGCTTAACATGATCTGAAGTTGTTTTTCAGTTGCTTATGACTATTTGTACCTAAATATATGAGCACAGAAATTCTCTCTTAGAGAAGATGAGTTACGTGGTAAGCTTGGAGGTTTTGTTCAGTCACACTGAGTTCCTTGCAATCCAAAAAGCCCCCAACCCTACAATTATTTTTTTTTAATTTAAACTTAAATTAGTGTACTCCTACCCAGTCTACTGCACAGTAATACACATTTCTACAGTTCAAGAAGGGCTGAATGATTTTCTAGCTCATATTCATCAATCACAGTGCACCGAGACCAGGTCTGGGAAGTTTCAGCCCAAACAGATCTGTTGTAATTACTAAACTATGTGCAATAGAGATAGCAGTAACCACCTAGGGACAGTGGCATCTTTCTGCTCAAAAAATGGCCAAAGCCAAGATTTTGTGGATAAGATTTGCACAATCCCCTGAAAGAGCTTTTTCTTCTAAGTACAAATCCTCTCCACAGGAGCATACATCCCTGCTAAAACCATTCCAGTCTCCTAACAAGTTGCCAGCTGCAGAACAGGATCCCAGGGTGAAATCACCAGGGGCCCTTGTGTGAACATAGGAATGTTTTTAAGCCAGAAGGGACCGCTATGATCAGCCAGTCGGCATGGCACAAAGCAAAGGACCTCACCCTGTGCTTCCTGTATCAAGCCCATCATGTATAGCTGAAAGGCAGATTCTGAATCAAGATTGGATGTCCTTCTAGCACTCTTAGCAATGCGGACCTTACACACATGGTTCCAGAGGTTTTCCGCCCTCCCTGCTAAGAAGCTGTGTCTTCTTCCTGGTTGGAATTTGTCTAACTAAGATACAGGATCTTGCAAAGAAGGGATACTCCAGACACCACTCCTGTACAGTAAGGTGCCACTTCTGAAAAGGCTAAATATATGTTGTTGGCTGTACATGGTATGAATGCATATCTGGTGCTGTTATGTATCTGTGTACTGTAGTATCAGGCTAGCGGCCCATCTAACTATGATAGTAGCCAGTAGTACCTACTTCATAGTAAAGTGAAAAAAGTTCCTAAATTGGTCAATCATGGAAAAACTGGCTCAGAGGAGAGGATTTTCCTAGCCATCCTTTATGAGGTAGGGGGTCAGGAGTTCTGGGTCCTATTCCCAGTCTGTCATGTAACTGTAGACAGGTCATGCTACCTTTCTGTGCCTTGGTTTCTCCATCTGTAGAACAGGGATGTTATTTATCCCTTATAAAACTGTTTGGATGAAAACTGCTATCTAAATGCCTGAAGAGGCTTTCAATCCACAACATAATTACTTCTGTTCAGAGGAACATGTGGAACCAGAAAGACCCTTTAAAACAAACTGCTGCATCATTCCATGACATGTTTCGATTTGAATCAAAACAGTAACAACACTTAACAATTTATTCTGCTGGTCAAGGTGGTGTTGGCACTTAGAAACAAAAATCACAGATTCTCCAGAAACACTGGGAGGAAAAAGGATTGCTGGGTCTGCAGTATGCCTGTGATCTCCTTCCAGATTCATGCAGTGGCAATGAAAAGGCTCTTTGGAAGCATTAGCATGAGCTATTGCTACTGTCACCCCAGTTCAGCGACAGAGCACACAGCAAGGAAAGGCTAAATCAGGAACTGGCTACCCCTGGCACACGTGCCAAAGTATGGCACGTGAGGCCATTTTCTTTGGCACGCCACAGCTGACCCAGATTCTGGGCAGCTTCTGCCAGCAGTTGCCCAGAGCTTGGGCCAACTGCAGCTGGGAGGCTGCAAACAGGTGCATGGGGCTCTGCAGCCCCGGCACCAGTTCTGTGGCTGCAGCAGCTGTGCACGCACCTCTGGGCACATGGCTGGGAAGGGGCCTGGGGCAGTGCAACCCGCAGGCACCTGTGTAGCTGCTGGTGCCATGGAGCCAGTGCCTGCGGAGCCTGGCACAGCTGTTTGCAGCCTTCCAGCTGTTTGCTACAATTGCCCAGAGCCTTGGCCAGCTGTGGAAGACAGCCAGGAGGCTGCAAATGGCTTTGCTGGGCTCCACAGTCCCAGCACTGGCACCATGACAGGGTTGGGTGCATGTGCAGATTGCAGCACATGGCAGAGAAGTGGCTGGGGCAGTGCAACCATGGCTCTTCCCCCACCATCTGCCCGGAGGCACAGCTGTCACAGGGTCAGTGCTGGGGCTGTGGAGCTGGCACAGCTGTCTGCAGCCTCCCAGCTGCCTGCTACAACTGACCAGAGCTGCAAACTGCTGCACTGGGCTCTGGAGCCCTGACACTATGGGGGTGGCAGGTGCACACATGGCTTGCAGTGAATGGCGAGGAGGAAGGGGCTGGGACAGTGCAACCCTGGCCCCTCCGCCGCCGTCCACTAGGAGGCATGAATGCAGCCACCACCAGCAATGAGGATTGGGCCCCTTGTGGTTCCCCCATCTCTGGCATGCCAAATCAAGGGGTGGGTGGAAGTTGAGGTGATTTTGGCACTCTGCCCAAAAACGTTGCTGACCCCTGGGCTAAATGTATGCTGGCTGTACATGGTATGAATGCATATCTGGTGCTGTTATGTAACACTACAGCATGGGACAATGAAACTGATAGACTGGATCAGACTGGTGGCCCATCTACCTGTGATAGTCAAGCTAGATGACCACAAGTCAAGTGGTGGGAAAGGAGCTGGCAAGGGACAGGATGGAGTTAAGAGGCCACATTCCCTTCCCACTCACTCTACCTGGTCCAGAGCACCCTAAACAATCGCATGCTAGCTGATGAATATGCAGGGTGAAGTGTGGTGTCGCTCCCTTACTCACCTGCTGGGAAAAGGGCTGTGAAGCTGTAAAGCTTTGAGATAATGCTCCAAGGTCTTCAGATGGAAGATGCACTGTTGCAACAATTAACAATCATTAGCTGTACATTGTTTCCCACTCTACAATATATGGACAGTATGGTGATTCCGAGCCTCAGGAACATGAGGGAGAAGGCCATCTGCCTTAAGCACCTGACACAGCCCCAAAGCCAGATGAATGTGTCCCAGAGGCAATTTACCTGGTTGTTTCACTGTGACTGTTGTCAGCCCAGAGAGATCTTCTGCTCGCTTATACCACCGGTCGCTGGGATCCAGCAGCCACTCCTCCACCCTACAGTCATAGGCCCCACTATCCTGCACAGTTGCATTCTGGATGGTGAGAAGGTACAGGCCAGGAGAAGGGCTCTCCAAATGCAGCCTGTTCTTCAGGTCACTCAGTGCTGCCAGGTCCCCATACTGCAGGGTGGCCTGGTGGTTCAGACGAGCCACTGTCTCTTTTTCTGGGTGTCCAGACTTCCACACGAACCATTCCACAGAGAGCTGGGAAGAAAAGCTGGTTCGGTTGGTGACCAGGCACTCCAGTGTCACCCACTGGTTTTCCAGAATGGTGAGGTTCTTCTGGGTCTGGTTCACTTGTAGGTGGTTATCTAAGAAAAGAAGCAAGGAAAAGGGAAAAAAAAGCAATTACATGACTGCAATGACCACAGTCCTTCCTCTGGCTGAATACTTCCCATGTCATACTTACAGGGACCCCACCACTCATGTGATTTGTTTTGTTAAGCATCTATCACAACCTTGGGCACAGTCAAAAAAAATAAGGAAGGCTTGGATTTTCAAAAAAGCCTAAGAAAATTAGCTCGACTCTCAAGGAAACATAGGCACTGAAATCCTTTACATGCCTTTGAAAATCCTTGACTAAATAAATAAGTCGGAAAGCGCCCATTTACCCCAGCATATGAGGACATGGAAGTGTGGCAGACACCACAATCCCCTAATAGGATTTGAGGATTCCAAATGCAGGGACTAGACTATTTGGGGTTGAAGGAGGTCACGCTTCGTGTGGATATCACTGGATTGGGAAGTTTCCCTA